TGGTAACAATATAGGCTCTACTTTAAAAGGTATAAAAATAAATATAAATGATATAAAAACATCAGGTGATAAAATCAAATCATAAATTGCTAATAACTCAATTAATATAAATTACTTTAAAAGTGGGGACCACATTTATTTTGAAAAAATATAGTTGATTGATGAGGAAGAAAGCCCTCTGTTAATATCTAAAGTTAGTCAGTTTGATAGTCTTATGTACAGCGATGATGTTCTTGCAATAATATAGCAAATAAGTGTTTCATTATAATGGGAGTAGTCAAACTAATAAATTCAGTGTATAGGATAGCTTGAAACAAAATAATTTGTTTAAAGTGGTGGATATTAATTAAATGCATAAGTGATATACAAACCAAAAAGTTAAATGAACCTTTAAATTGTTTCGAATATTTTCCCTTAGCTTGTAGATTCAAGAGGAAATATATATCAAAAATAGGAATAGCTTATTAAAAATATAGTTTTTAATTTTGATGATTGCGAGATAGGATAAATAGTTAAATAATATAGTAGTTCTACCATTTGTGAGAATTGTTAAGAAGGTAAATATTCTTTAAATAAATAAGATATTGAATGTTAATAATGTCCAGAATCAGCTGTTAAATGCTTCAAATCAACAATTCTATTAAAGAATGGATATTGGAGAAAAAATGAAAATACTGATATAATATCTTATTGTAATTTTAATCCTCTTGCTTGCCAAGCAGAATCTCCTGAATCAAAAGTATTTTTTTTTTCTTTTTAAATACGAAAAATTAATTTCTAAAAATACATAAATTAAATTTTAATAAGTAAATTTCAAATTTTCTTTATCAATAGATCTTTTGCTTTAGTTTAATGCAAATGTAATTTTAAATATACTATACTATCAATCCTCATTAATTAAGAATATTTTATGACTACATTTTTTCATCAAAAAAATTATTTTCTTATTTTGAAATCTTATTGTTTCTTATTTTTTATAAGATTAAAAAACAAAATTTGTATTTATAAAATAACCAATAAGATAATATATTATTATTATTTATTTATTTTTTTTAAATTTTTGACTTTGTACATTAATATTAATATCAGCTTTTATCTTTAAATTAGTGGAATAAATTTTGCTTCTTTTTATTCTGAAATAGTTTAATAAATTATATTAATTTAATTGCACCTTAATTAATGAGAATTGATATGTATATATTCAGTTAGCTATAAAAATTTATGTACTTCTACTAACTATTATTGCTAAATTAGAAATACAAAATAAAACACTTTAATATTTTATCCTTCCTTATTATTTAACACAAAATTTGTTTTTTAATAAGTTAAAAAAATTAATATATGACGAATTATAGTAATAATTTTAAAAAAAATAGTGATGATAAATTTAATTTTTAAATTTTATAGTCTATTTAATATTTTTTTATTTTTCAATTTAGTAATATTGCTTAAAAGGTTATAAGGGTCCACTGTGCTATTCTTGTGATGTGTATGGAGAGATTTGGGGAAATTAGTATTCTGAAATGTATAGTCCTGGAACGTGCTATAGCTGCACTGAAAATTTGTTAAATATATTAATTTAAAATATATTATTTTTCCTCCTAATCTCTCTTTACATATTAGTTATTTTAAGAACAATTATAAATAAATTATAGGCTAAACTAACTGGTTATTTTATTAATAGATCAGATATCTTATACTTAGGATCAACATGTAATTTTTAGAATTGAAGAATAATCTTATTAATAATCTTTTTTTATTTAATAGTAAAAATCTCAGAAAAATCACAGATATTATCAAAGATTTTTACAGATCATCTTTAAATATTATCATTATTTAGCTTTTTTTCGGTTAATATCCCTAATTATTTTAAAGTCCCATTATTGTTATCTGGTAATTCTTTGAGCCTTACCAGTAAGTCTATAGACTGTTTCTTCTCAAAATTTTAAAATTTAAAGCCTTTGTGGTTTTATTAGATAATTTGGTCTTTACTATTACCAATATTTTTGTTTGCTGTTTATCTAACTGTTGGCCTTCTTTTATTATTATTGAAAAAAAATAACATAATACTAAAATATAGATATACAGCATTTA